GGAACACAAATGTACGGTATTATTTATTTAATAAAATAATATTTAATTTGTATACAATAAAATTTTATCACTGGAGAGAACAGATAATGATGTCGAAATATTGTATATACATGGAGGCTTCATGATCAAAAATTTCTTGCCAAGATTTGGTATGTTGGTCCCTGGCGCGGCTGGGCTGCTGGGCCGCGGCTTGGTGCCTGGAATCGTAAATAGGCCATGAAGTAAAAAGTTTGCGGAACGCATGATATAGATTTATTTAGGTATGCTGTTTGATACTAACGATTTCATTACGAATGACCTCATTGGCTAAAGTAAATATTTTTGAAAGAAGTCCTTCTGTATATAGGCAGATTCCGAGTGGACCTTTTGGGGTTATGTGTCCCATTATGACTCGTAGAACAGATTCCTACACTCTATTCTGTGGAACCAATTTATTGTAGAATCACAAGAAGAAGTTGATGTTTCTTTTGTTTTATGGGCTTACAATGCACACGTTTACATGTGAGATGCAAGATTCTTCATTCAAATGTTAGATAAATAAGATTTGAAAATATACAACTGATTGTTAAATAAACATTGAAATGTCATCCACATTAAAAAAAATATCCGTAATTTCTTAGAATGTAAAAGTTCATTTGTGAACTATTTTAAAGCTAGTGCTCTGTCCAGATATTATCAGATTTTCATTGAGAAAAAAACCGGCTTGTACATAGATGTCGTTACCTGACTGACAATGGCGAACGAGTATGCGCTCTCGTGCGGCTATCTGCAGGGGCTCCAGGCCCCTACCCACAGAGTCCTCGATCTACCTCTGACCCAAAAGATCTTTGTTGATACATAACAGAAGAATTTGTCTCTGACATGGACTGTAGGAAATATATCATATTATACCCGGTGACGGATTAAAGGCCCCTAGGTTTGTCAAATTTGTGAAAACAATTGATAAAAAGAGAATGACATTCAAATTTTAAGTCTGTGAGTGCCATTTCCGGCCATCTAGAGGTGCCATAACTTAATTACTTCATCCCAAACGATGTTGGGGCTGAGGTGGTACAGATCCTCCAGCTGTGAAAGTCCCTCCCTGTGGACCCCTCAATTTCAAATTCCTATTACATCCGACACTGATATATCATGTTTTCGTCGTTAAAAACCTTTATCATGGCCGGCAGAACAATGTCTATGCAAATTTTTTATTTTTTTTTAAAGAGTGGAGCCCCCACTTTGACAAACGTTCCGGCGGCCCTGTGTATAATATATAAAGTGGCAAACACGTTTTAAAAAACACATTTAAACCCCACATTAACAGAGATTCAAGAAGAGTTTCAGGGCCTGAAAGGTAAAATGAATAAGCCGCAATTCAACTCATTGCTGTAAAACAGTACAGAGGATTGGAGTTGTACTTCGTTGGCAAAGTAAACAACGTGATCATGTCACATGTATTTGGCAAGTCAGGTGTTTGTCCCAAACTTTTATTATCTATTTCGAATATCAATAGCTATTCACTTCTTTGGTTATCATGTGATTTGCACTAACAAAATATTATCCAGTACAAAATCACACTACATCAAACAGTGAAGTAAGAGTAAATACGGTACGGCCTTGCGAAGCCATAGGGCTCAAAAGGATGGAGCTTATCCCTAGTTTCCAACAGGCCTATTATTACTAACCTTGATCTTACATTGAAACATCTTTTTATATGAATTTGGCTTTAAAGTGTGCAGCCTTTAATGAATATATTGAAATAAACCCACTTTAATTTTTAGATTTAGAAGTGGTTTGGCGCAGTGGGAACAGTTTGGTTCCCCAACCTTGAGGTCGAGTTTTTAATCCCCTCGCTATGCATTTCACTCCTTGGGCAAGGCACTTTATCTTTATTGCTTCTCTCCACCCAGGAGTATAAATGGTTACATGGTAGGGTTAAATGCCAAAAAATGCGCTGATGTAGCTGCTGCAACATTAATGAATACTTCCCCAGGGAGCTTGAGTTTATAGGCGTTTAATCCAATGACGGGGGTAGTAATGTGAAGCGCTTAGAGGCCTTGTTGGCGTTAAGCGCTATATAAATCTAACATATTATTGTACTATTATTAAATTTAATGTGTATGCATAGATGATTAACTAATATTGTGCCTTTTTGAATTTGAAGGTAAAATTTTGTCCTATAGCAAATTACAGTACAGTACTTTATTATAGCTGGTCAATATTTTGGGGAAAAGCACTAGTCTGTTTAGCCCTTCCCCCTTCTAAAT